TTTGGTTTAAAAAGTTGTAGGTCTTAGTTTATTTTTAGAGATATTTTTCCTATGTCATTATTTATTTCATTGTTCACTCAGTTGTAAACTCTTCTTTTAATTTCTCATCAATTGTTTTTAATTTTGATAATGAGATAATATTTGTTTCATTTAAAAGATAAGAATGGTTTATACTTTTTAATATCAAATCAAGTTTTTTAAACCATTTACTTTTAATAATTTTATTGACATAGTATGCTTCTTGAAGTAGAGTATTTGTGGAATTTGCAATGCGATTGGCATATTTTATCATTTGTTTCTTAATAAAAGAGTCAAGAGGTAATTTTCCCAATTCACTATATATTGCCATGATTGGGCATTATCATAATAACGCACAGACTATATCGAAGGCAGTGTAAGAACAACGTACAATCTGTATCAAGGGCATTATAATGATAATGCACAGCCTTCAACAAGGGCATTAAAATAATAACGTACAGACTACACCAAGGATATATATATATATATATATATATAACAGCACGCATGTGCACGCAACTTACCCAGTAAAGAATAGATGCCATTCAAAGTTATCCCATTTATCCGACCTTCAAGTAACCGTTTTGTCCGAGTCGGGTGCAAAATTATATTTTAATTATTAACAGCACAGTTTACTTACATATATTTAATGGGAAGGCATATAGAAAGGGGCACACTACTCAACGAGTTGTACTTGGGGAAATCGAGTATTGAAGAAAAGATAGCACAGAACGTAAGGTCAGAGTTCAAGGAAGCACCACGGTTGTAAAATGGCAACAATGTGTCTGATGTGTAATCACAGCTGGTGACGGCGGCGATATTGTCATGGAATACGGATGGTCCGGTTTGATTTCATACGATCTTCTCTCTCCCTGCTATTGTAATTTTTTCTTCTCTCAATTTTCATATATAAATAGAATTAGTATGTACACCATGACGTAGACGAGAAGATTCAAGATGGGCCGTTGGGGTGTAAGTTTTTACACTAGAAACCGACCATTCTTTGTTGTTGTGTATAAACAGGTTTTTGTTTATTACAGTACATTGAACCATGGAGCCACGACGCTATTGTTTTAGCTTTACCCTATGATCGTTTGTCAATGTTTGTTCACAAACATTGGTTCTTGTTAGCTCTTGGCGCAATTACGCTAATTTCGAGCATTCGGTAATATTCGGAGCATGTTCGGTAGCAGGATAGACGAACTGCGCATGCACGAGATTGAAAATGACATTTAGTTGGAATGTTGTTGTTTCTTAAGATCTTGGCGAATTTTAATGAAAAATTGGCAGATATAACATCGATTGATGAACTATCGTGATTTTTTGGCCTTTGTAATGGTGATGAGACGTAATTAATAATTGCCTGTGACAATAACGATTGCATTATTCAATGGTACAATCGTCAGTGCGTGGAATTGACGCCCGAAACTATTGAAATTAGTGCCTTCCATGATTGGAGACAGAAGCGTTAATTTAAAAGCACTTGACGGAAATAGAATTCCATCAATAAACTCTAATATTTCGGCTAAAATCATTATTAAAAAAGGGGAAAATAGGTATAAATAATACAATTGCCACGAGAGACCGCAACGTATGCAGTCAAGCCGTAAGGGACTGAACGCACAACCTCTGCCACGCGTCGGTCGATATGATCGTCATACAGCCTTTGTACATACTTCGCCTCCAAGTTCATATATTTGTCCTGCCCCCAGAGGCGGCGGCGCAAAATTTTGCACAGGGGCAAGATCTGCGCTGTGTGCCGAGGAGGCAACCTTACTAGGGGTGGTGGCCGGACAATTTTGGAAATCTAGACCCTCTGAAACACTATTTCCTGCATTTTGAGTGGCAAATTTTGCTGACATACATAGCTGAGTTTAATTAGATCTTCAAGGAAAACTTACTGACCAACGGGTTTCAGCATCCCCGGTGCCGCCGCCACTGTGATTTTAGTTATTTTTAGTTACTATAGTAACTATAATGACATGTTCTAGATTAGAACCGTGGAGTTTAATCGACTTTTATCAGACAGTAATTATAGTTCCTTCATTACTCAGTATAGTTTTATGAAGGTATTGTTGATCCATACAATGCAAGACAATATATCGTGACGATAGGTCTGATTACTACATCGCCTGTCAGTGGGTATCAGTAAAAACTATTAATTACTATCGAAGACCCCTGAGGACGTGACAGAGTTTTATTTTTAGAGATACTAGCCGGAATATAATCAATCAATAAAGGGTCATCGGTAATCAGACGAGGACATGCAAAGAGGTGGAACAGAACAATCTGAGTATTCTCCTTGTGACTGATATTGTTTTCAAAGAAACTGACTGAAACAATATATTTCTGCAGAATAGATGAACAAAAAGCCACCTGGAGATTTCCCTTTGTGACAATGCAGTCGACCCGTGCCCCCACAGGACATTAGCAGCGAAGCGTCGTGAAGCGTGAATGACTTGATAACTGTATCGTGATTACACATTCGCATATAGAAATTAACGGTGAGGACTCAATTGAATATGTCGGTTCCACCGCGCTTTAAGTTGACTTTTCGAACAACTTAATACTTCCCACACCGAACTTTTGCGGAGACTTGGACAAAAATGGGGTTGATACCTAGAATTTAAATTTTAAATACGTAGCTTGTAAAACAATTTCAGAAAATTAAAGTAAAAAACCCGAGACATAATGATTCATTTTCACCGCTCATCACTTTAGATCACTCACGAATAATCCAGTCGAAAGACTTTTTCTCAAAATAGAAAAAACAACGTGAAACCCATTCCTAATTTACTTACTATAAAAAGCTCTGAATGAAAAAAATAAACAATCATTATTATATTCGGCAGTTGACATTATAGGGAGAATCACATTTTGGTGAGAATATTTATAGCGTTCAGCGGGGTAAGGTTGACTACTTTCTTCTCTACGATTAGAAGAAAAACTAATAACAAGGAACATCAGTTATATGTAATAACTGCACTAAAAGTGTTATGGCGTCACAGACTCTAGCAGTGCATTGTTAAAGAAATATTCTTCTTTCTGCTTCACCAACTCACGTGATTAAGAGTGGCGCCAATGTGTTGCTCAAAATTGAATTCGCGGTCACTGTGATTTTTCAGCAAATGATCTGTCTCTGGTTCTCTCATACTGCAAATGACAAATTGCCGAGTGTAGCCTGACATGTAGGTGTGAGTGGCGCCCTCGTCGGACGAACGGCATCAGACCTTACTAACGCCTGACAAAATAGTCTGCGTGTATGTCGGCGTCGTGTTGGGTTTGGAGTTACGCGGAGACCGTTGGGCGAGGCATGGAATTCCGAGAGTTATCTTCAGCCTCGAACATTTTGTACAGAAACAAAAATAACACCCAAATAAAAATTATTCCGATTATGCCAGCACATGCCGCCATATGGTATAAATCACTGAACACAGTCTCTCTAAGACTGGATTGTACCCAGAAACAGAATCATTTAATAGCCGGGTAAACGTCGCACCAGTCATTACCTCCATCATAGACCCTCTAACAGGGTCTATGCCTCCATGCACTAGTCTTGAGGGTGATTTTATAGGTGTGCCTAACAAACGCACCCTCTCATTTACGCCATTCATTACTACTATTATATTGAGGGAATAGTAAATTAGATGCAATTGCAGACAATGGTGTCTTATACTGAGAATAATAATTCAACGTATTCGACAAACTCGCACGCTCTGTAAAATTCCACGGCGGGATTAAAATGGGAACTTGTTACAACATAGAACTTTCCAGTGTACAACCCAGAAAATGATGTATTCCATAAACATCCCCTCTTTAGCTCTATAGATGAACCCCATGATAAAATGGAAACGCCCAAACTGGTCAACGTAAATATTTGGCTGTCGCGCGTGGTCGGGCATAGCACTCTCCTAGTTCGCGAAGGTCGCTTACTTTTAACACGGTTCGCTTGGAATGGATACGCAAACAGGCAAGTGTTCATCTTATATTCTAAATGATTAACATCTGTGAAGTAATGCAGGGTTGTGGTGCGTTACTACACCACTAGTTGATGATGCAACTGTTACAGTCCTGGATTAACAACACACGATGACCGCCTTGGTGCTCGCATTGTAAGCAAACATGGATCATAAATATAACACAACTCGCTATAATTTAATAACTGTGTAACGTGCATGGCGTATAAAACATGCTTGGTCAGGCATGATCGGAGGCTCTCCCCAGTATGAATATCGTTTGAGTCGCTTACAATATTGTGCACTCGTTGTTAATTAGGGTTGGGCTTGTTGATATAATTTGACAATAGATATTATTAATATTAACTACATGACCTGTTATATTCGTGGTTTACCGTTTCGCTCGTTAATGCAGTGGCAAGGATTGCTCCCCGAAGGCCATCAATCTAGATCCAACTGGATCCATCTGAACATGACCTAGTTTCCGAGTATTTTACGAGGAATAGTGAATCAATTTGTTTCAGACGCAGCAAGCAAGGAGTCAATTAACAAAGATACTCTCTATCCAAAGCTTGATGAGTGTGAAAAAAACAATACAGATAAGGACGAAGATGGTAAATTGCCAGAGGAGATTGAATTACTAGAGAGACGCAACGATGATGAAGCACCGGCAATATCTGGCAGGCGTGTTCTTACTCTAGCGGATGGGCTGTGTGTGCCGGTCCCAGAGGATTATGTGTTGCCTGTTGACGCCAGTAAATGTCACAGCGCTGTATTGGCGAAACAACCACAAAATTATGCTGGAGCAGAGCCAATGGTAGGTAACAACCGGCTCGGGCACTCGGGTGCCATTTTATCGTTTACATAAAACTGGGAGAAACAAAACGTGCACATTTCTGTAACACGAGCCTAGATTGGTTTACTGTATTTATTTGCAAGATAATACCATAATAATACAAAACATGCTACGTCATAGGAGTTACTTATTGTTAGCTTAGGGGGTTCGTAGAATCGGTACGCTGCAATTTAGTTTTCATATCTGTAGGGCGCCGAAAAAACTGTTTCTTAATGTTTCTAATTTGTACTTCTTTTTTATTTTATTTTTCCCGATTTGCAAATTGCATGTGTAATTATATCGTTAATCAGTTGACCACGTGGTTTGAACTATTAGCTGAAAGCAATATGACTGTTTTTAAGATCGTAAAAACGATATTGCACATGTATGTACCTTACCGTACACTAGAGAATAGAAAAACTTGTCCCCGGGGTTCTGTTCGCGCGAACTAGTCTTTTGTATCGAGTAAAATAACGGTGTTGTTTACTGTTGTTCATATTAAATACATGTATGTGCGCTTGTCAACAAAATAAGGACGACGTTGTGACAGCAGACCGCGAGTTGGTGCCCGGGGGATACATAGAACTTGCCTAATAAGGACGTGCCCCTGAAATGGGTCTCGTTTTTGGATTTTAGGTATAAGTATCGCTATTATTTCTGGTCAAGATAAGTATAAATATCGGTAATATTTTCCCGATTTGGTATATTTATGGGTCCGTATATGAGCGAATATCTCAATGATGACAGAAATGGTACTTTGGTATAAATATGGGTATAGATTTTGCCACTATCCAGGTATAAAATGGTCACAGTTTTGAGCACTCAGGGGCACCTCCCTACCCAGCTATGTATTAACTGCCCCCGGGAGTTGGTGCTGAAACGTAAGTGCTCTTTTTTGTCATAATTGAACGCGCCCGGGACATGCGCATACTGTATGGCAAAGAAATACAGAAGAAACCACCCTCGTCAGTAATGAAACTAACCAGTCATTCACCTCGGCTTTCATCTGGATCATGATTTTGGCCACTTTCATATTTGTTAATGTTTAGCGTCCTGTCAACATCTGTAAAGGATGAGCCGATTAAACAACGTACATACTGTGTGCTATGCTACATGAATTTATATCTATGTATACCCCTTGATACCGTGATTATACCTTGAAATTCTAATTACCCCTGCCAACTACCCAGGGATTTTGACAACATATGTTTGTGTCAGTTCCCATCAAAAATATTAATTCTAGAAACCTCTAACATGCATAACATACAACTACTTCGGCCTTAAACATGAAAACATTGAGTGGCTCACCCCGGTGACCTTTGCCCTTCGTGAAACCGTAAACACACGAACAAAGCATACAGGAAGTTTAATTAGAAAGGAGACGTCCAGGCACCCATTGTTGACAGCTGTTAAACTCAAAATTTGTATATGTAGACTGTAGTTGTATTCTTCGTTCGTTTCCATCGCTGAACAGAGACGACATTGTCTCCGCATCAACAGGGCATTCAGACATGCAAATAGTAAAATTCTTTATTTATCTGGTGTCTACCAGGGGCTTGTTAATGGAAGTTCCGTGGGAAAACTTTTGAATGACATATAATACTAGTACTCAGTTACCTCCCGTTGCTACCCCATCGAGGGTTTATGCACTTCGGCGGGAATTTGATGTCATCGCAGACATGAAGCAAATCTCGAGGCTATATCGCTTGCCCGTCACTTGTAGATAAACTCACTCGGTCACGTGATTTAAAACAATCCTTCAGTAACTGATAACATAATGAGCGAAAAAGGATTTAAAAAGGAAAAAAAAAATCGAAATTGCGAAGGTACATTCGATTGTAAGTCCTTTCTCGTTTCCAAAGTCTACGCCATGAATAAAATATACCATCTAACAATCAAGGCAAATGATCTCACAAATGTGACGTCATATTGTTTCAAATCAAATATTTACCTGCCATTGCAGTGATAAATATTTCGAGGACGATTTTCATGATTTTCATGATTTTCATGATTGTTATTTGCATGACCGGACAGGAACGAGACAGAATTTATTATTTAACGCACACAGACAAAAACACCACGTGGTACTGACAGTCGAAAATCTATTGGTTGATACACATGTACTCAACAATAATAGATCAGACGATCCCCTGTAACTAGTATTACGGCATCCCAACAGAGTTTTCCTGAAGAAGCCTTAATTCTAGGGCGAAACGTTGAAAGGAATAAACGTCATTATTACAGAACTGACCAGGTGTATTGTTGTGACGATCTTTGTGTTATTTGCATATTGCTTGATGATAAGTGTGTTTTTCCGTACTTGACAACTGACCGTGCATAGAGAACATAGTTATGTAATTTAATCCAACCATAGTTATTCTGTTTTAATTAATTTAGTACATATCGACCACCATAACACTCGGTCGCCAGCATTTTTGACGTTTGTATTTTAATTTTATCGTAGTCCCCGAACCAAAGATGGACATGGCTTTTGAGTTGGTGTGTGCATAGGTTTACTGTTACGTTGGTAACACATATGTTACACTGTTTTTTTTAATTTGCATATAAGTATTCACATCATGTGTATATGATGTCAACTGCTTCATTGTTTTAACTATTTACGTGTCACGTGTTCTTTTTATTTATAAGCGACTGGTTAAAACTTGTTCTGAATCACAACTCTGTAAATCGACACTGTATTTGTGTCGTGTTTTAAAATAATTCATACATCATAAAAAAAAACGAGCACAATGGCATCCGCTGCACATAGCTGAAGTTCCCTTTGTGACGCTATTTTCATTTCTCCGACACGCCGCAGTCCATGCATGGATATAGACACTACAAGAGAACTGGTGATGGTTGTAGAACCATAACCTCCTCAGCTCAAAGATTATTATGTAATACAGGGGAATGTGAAGGGAAATGTATTGTAGTGTTAGCTCTGTGTAATTTACAATATATCTGCATTAACCTTCACTGTGAATGACAATATGGGAGTTGACTTAAATGACTGGTAAAAGCAAGGCTGGTCAAATTCTGCGAAATAGTAGTTAGAATCACCAGACATGCAATCGACACGTTGTGAGATATCACAATATGGATGATAAACAGCAAGTGATATTTCCAGAGATGTAGTTGGAATTGAAGCAAAGAAGTGGCCTATTAATCCATGAAACATACTCACACATATCCGTACACACATCCTGTCTTATTGTGTGTGGGCAAAGCTGTCATGCACACAATCGGAAAAATATGTTATTACTGTATTATTAATTATGAACAATAAAAACTGAAATTTAGAAAAACTATGAAATACTAATAAGGAAAATATGTGATTTGCTGTACAGTTTCCATAAAACTATTACAAGTCCCAGAAGTGCATACGAGTCGTCAAAACGTACAGTTTGGTGACAGTTGGGAATGATACCAAGATTTAACAATTCCATGAGAACATCGCAATGTTCTTTTAACACATGAAACAGATGTGCATTGGTCAAATTTTGTATAG